CAGTCTGACTTGCGGCTTGGACGAGCCCGTTGAAGTCCTTCTTCCAATAGTTGAATATCGGCCTCCGTTGTTTGTAATACGGTAATGACAGTTCTATGCATGCCACAATGGAGCAAAAGTCATTGTTCACCAGCGGTACGAGGACACTGATCTCGTTCAGCTTCTGCTCGCAGATCGCAAACATTAGGTCCAGACAAGATGCCGAGTGCGGAGTTATGAGCGTCAGTTGGATGACATGTTGTGTAAGTTGGCCAGATAGTGATGATTTTATGTACAACAGGACACTACCATGACCCATTGATTTTCGGTCGCATCGGAAACAACAATATGCTGACAACGCGAGTTCTTGGGGTATGACGTCGGAGTTCAGCCAATTCCCTGCAAGTCCTAAAACGTCCGGCCGCTCCGAGACAGCGAAGCAGCACAGTTCGTCACGTTTGTTCATTGGGCTCCATACGTTGGCGAATGCCATACGGAGGTCCTGGGAGGTACTGCGGGATGTGCCTGGAGGTTGAGCAACCGGTTGATACGGGTTCGCACACCCTTCTTGATCGCCCGAAAATCTACAGTTTGTAAGTCAGTTTCACGTTCCTGTGTACGGTGTTTGAGCTCAATGACCGCAGTCTTCGGACGATCCCTGTCTTCGGGTTCCAAGTCTCGGCGGATGTGAATTTTTATGCCTTTCAGCCTTGGCAGACGGGGCAGTATGAGCTGCGGCACATTATGATTTGCAAAGGTGATTCACAGAGGTCGACATGACTGGTTATTTTTCTGGCCAAGTCGGATTACTTGTTTATCGTCACACTGTTTTCGCTCACATCCAAGAGTCTATCGATGAGCCCCCAGAGGAACTCAACACCGTGATCATAAGGTTTAAGACGGTTTTCATCTTTTGACTCTAGTACGTGGAAGACATGAGATTATGATGCCTCAGCAAAATCGGTGATGAACCTGTGGGAGCAGAACTAGAGGCGCTTATCTGATTAGGTTGTTGTTTATCAGCAGGGGACGCCTGAATTCGATTACGTGGTCCCTTGTGCTTTTGAGTGGTCCATGGACCCTCAGTGTTCAGAAGTTCACAGACAGCCTCTGAGAAATTCACGGACCGACCAGTGAAGCGGCATTTCGTAGGCTTCGAGTCTGAGTCTTCCATCGGGGGAACATTGAACCTGAGGCTCGGCCGGGGTCGAAAACGCTGGTGGTGGTGCATATCGCGGAGTGACAAGAGAAGGCCAAGTAACAGAGGTACTTTCAAGAGAGCGTTTGATCCCACGTGGTGAACGGTTTGTTTCTATCTGAAAGAGAGATTTTCCCGTAGTTGTTAGCGGTCGCCGAGTCTTCTGATGTCCTGCACCGCGACATTTACCACATATAACTTGAAAATACCAATGTCGGGCGTCGAGAGGTTTCGAAACACGTCAACGGATAAGTAAATGCACGAAATACGGAACAAAACATCGCAGCCGAAGCACCGAAGTGCATGAGCCTTATTTCCAACAACTTTCGAACACGAACCACAAGTAAGTTGAGACGGCATCAAAAGGTAGAGCAAATCCAAAATGGTGGATAAAAGATGGCAGTAGGGCAAATCAATGAGATCTCCGGAACTGGCCAAAGAATAGTCAACAAATTTACACCGATCGGAAAATACGCCAAAAAAAGAACATTGGTGCACAATCCACACAGAAAAAACTGATAAGACAGTAATCCGAAGCAAAAGTAGTGTCCAGCACACGGGGACCCAAAAAATCCGCGACTTCCGTAGGTACAGCTGACCAGTGGATGATGATGACAGGCGACTGATTCTCTGAACTGGATAAGCGGGTTTAGACCAGACGTGACGCATGCTAGACACACAAAGGGGTATAAGCGATGATCAAAATCCGGATCGCTAACGATTGTGGCGGCCACCATAAAACAGTGATTTGCAGGGTTGGAGATTGGATATACGGCAGTAAACTGGCGGTTGGGAAATATGATGCAATGAGTAAACAGTGTTAAACGAGTCCGAGTTTCTATTGTTGGCGCAGCCTGGAACAAACTCTTTCGAGTGCAAGCAGAGAATCAAGAAAGAATGGGAAAAAGAAAGTGGTTGCACGCGTAAAGTACAGTAGAAACTCCACCAGAATTGCTGAAGTGAATAAAATGTTGAAGCGCTGAGAATAATCCGACAATTTAATATCCACTTCAATTGGCTGATAAATCTAACCTTAATTCATTTAGGTGGATTACCTCGAGGACGAAGCCGGAACGCATAGGAGAGATCGACTGTTTGGAAGGAACTTATTACTCCTTGATCCACTACAACTCTATGAGCACCGTTGGATCGTATTGGCAAGCGCCTTTAGGAGGCGAACCCGGCAACTGTTGTCCCGTACCACCAAGTTGCAATACAGCGCATTACACCACAGACTAACTGTTGCTGTCCCTCGTTTGTATTTAGAAGCTTATTTGATGGACATACAAATTGAGTATCAAATGCCGAGTAAGTGATAGCGACAGCTGTTTGCAGGTGCCTCTGAAGCTGCGCCTGTAAGATGTCTATGCCAATGCGAAAATCGTGAACGCCTTGTGTTGCATCATTCAGAGCGTTGCCGACCCAATTCATGATCAGTGTGAACTTGAAGAAATAGAACCCGGAGCCATGATTACTTCGAACCGTCTTACATTCCACTAACACGAACGACATTAATAAAATAAGCCCGCCTGAATGCACCACAAGACTTAGACAAAGCTCAGATGATGCACGCAATGTAGAATAGTGGGGTGCACGCCCAAGTTACAAATGCGTGACCAGAGTGAGTTTTACACCAATATCAGCTAGAGCAGAAAGCCATGTATACCCGTGAGACAGGACACTCGCACATGCTAGTCACTCAAGCATGGCCGAAGTGAAAAGATGCGACACCATCAGCGCACGGTAAGACGACAGATATCCGGATAATTGAGAGCTAAAGAATCCGCATAGAGTACTGAAACCAAACACATTGACGATGGAAGATTCTATGGGCACTCGGATTGGCGGTGACAATCTCACCGCCAAAAAGAGCGGCCCTCACTGTGGCTGAGTAGATACCACTAAAAGAAGGAAATCCACTTTGGATCACAAACGTGCCGCACAGCCTAGGATGCAGTTATAGCCTAAGGATTATGCGAATTAATTCCAGTAATTAGATAACGGTCAGTGCTAAAGCAGTTGCAAATATAGAACTGAGAAACAATGTAAGGTTCCGCGTCGACGTATGCAAAATCGCCAGTAGGCGACAGGCGTTCTCGCAACAACACACGACATTTTGGAGGAGCAATGCGCATATCAAAGAATAGATCCACTCTAAAGTGACTACCCACGGTCGAGGGTGACCCAGTTAGGACCTCCCAACTGAGTATAGTGTGTGAAAGCAGTGTGAAAAACAGGCAGTGCGCATTCAACGGACGGTGTACTGCGACGCTAGAGGGTCTGTTACCGGACACTGCCTGGTGTACCTAGGCAGTGTTCACTCGGTGGCCTCAACAGATGCGGAGGAACATTTCAAGGAGAAAGATATTTAGATTTCAGCATATGGAGAATACGGTGTAAGCGACAGAGTCCCTTGGGGCTCGAACAACTCGTAAAACTCCTGGATCAAAAGAAACCGAGATCGAAAGTTAAGTACGATACCTGTTCAGTGCTGAAACAACCGGGTGCTTACAAGACACAAGAAATGCAAATCACCGTGCTTGCCATTGTACATCAAAAACACAGAACCCAGGATCCGCGAGCGGAATCCCACGGCGCATTTATTGCGTCTCTTAACCCTATCAAATTGATCTGTTGTACAGCGCATATAGGGAAATAATGCGTTAGGTTCTTAGGGTGTCACCAAGGGGTTGGTAATAATGTGTCTCGGGACAAATGTAGAGTGAATGGATCAACTGGTGGATGTGCACCCGGAGCGAGAAGGAATCAATGTAGGTGTGTGTGTTTAACTCCTGGGGAAAGTTGCCCAACGTTGGAGAGAACAAATGTGACAATGGGGTCGGAGTGAAACCATGGAACATCGAATAAGGAGACACAGGTTTAACAAATAGTTGAGAGACCGGAGTTTAGCAGGTATCCATAGCAATACTCCAATAACCAACTTGCGAACTACATGGCTATTTTACCGGTTGCATACGGTAACATTTATGGCACTGTGGCCATGTATGGCATGCAAATGGCGGATGAGCTGATATCCCGCTGTTCATGGAGGTTTGAGAATTCATGCGAACCTTACAAACGTCAACTATATTCTTGTTGGTCGCTCGCCCACAAGAGGCAATGCAAACCGTCCTTGAACCTGTCACATTTATGGTGCAAGAGGGGACTATCCCTCTTCTGAGATAATGTGTATGTATAGTCACAGTGCGGGCCGTTCACCTTTGGTCTAAGCATCATGAGCGCCTTCCGCATTTTGATCATCGTTGCTTGTGGAATTAGATAGTGTCAGTCAGACTAGCTCTTGACAGCAACAAACGGCATTGAGGATATTGTATTGGCTTGGGCCCGTGAGATCTATGGCTGCGGCTTACCGAATGCAGGACGGAACAACGCTCCAGGAGGGCAGAAATTGACTTAGCAGAGGGAAATGAAGGCGCTGACAACTAAACCGTGCGCTGCTGACTCGTCTCGCCTCATGGGATACAGTCCAAGTGACCCGATGACTGAAAGATTAAAGAATTTGGTTCAGTTTATAACAGCAGTGCATCCGTTGTCGTCTCCTATGCGAACGGCTTGTTTAAAGTGTGTTTGAGACTGAGTCACCTAAGTGGTGAAAGGCGTAATGAAACGGTCTCGCTGATGTCCTCTCATCTTTGCAAGGTTGCCAAATATTTGTGATCATGTTTGTTTAACAATATAAATGAGTCTCTGTCATGGGGCATCTATGTTTTATATAGATGCTTCTTTATTCCCTAAGTCATCATGGCACTGTATCAGGGAGGCATCAATTTACCTTAATGGTGTACCGCTGTTGATGGAAATGATGGCGAAGCGACCAAACAGACAAATGATTAGATCCTCCACTTATTGTACGTATTGGAAAATCGTGACGAGTCAGCCTAGCAAGTTATTTGTAATTCAGCATTGTGAGGCGCGGAAAGTAAGCTGGGAATTAAAGCGATTTGAGTTAAATTGTACAATAGTGGAAGTAAAATGGCGTAGCAGATATGCACTATTCATGCATTCTGGTCCACTGAATGAATGTTTACTCTAATCGAGGCATCAAGCACAAAATCGCTTCGATTGCAGTCAGCGGTACAAATGTCCATGGATTAGGTGTAAACGATCACAGGCAGAATGAGTCCGAAAAGAGCGAAAACTAGGTTCTTACGCAGTCGATATCCCGAAATAGACAAGTGTCATTGTAGCGGATGCGAATTAAAACGAACGCGATTGACCCGGATGAGTGATATATAAGACGCAGAAAAGAGAAATATACACGAAGTCGATATTCAGTATCGCCCGTTTCGTCGATTGCTGTGTGTTCTATGAAGTCGGGGTTCAGAATCGGATGAATTGGAAGAACGCTCTGCGCGCCGGTATTTAGCAGAAGATCTGGAATGGTGATGCCTGGGTTCTCTGGAAAGATAAGATCGATAAGCGTGAGAAGACTGATTAGTTTAGTTGAAGGGGAATCTAGGTAACACATTGAAAAGAACTAGAATCGAACAGGATACATTTTATTGAGAACTCGCAGAAGTGGCTTCCAAGCGCACCACGCGACCAAAGTACAAAATGGCCGTTTTTGCTACTGGGACTCGCCAGTGGTGCGCATTTTCAGAATCCATCAGGAATAATACCCTAGCGACTTGCACCATTAGCCAGCAACCTATGCAGCTAGGCTACGAGTGACGGCGCTGGACTGACATGACCTACAGGCAAACTGCGACAGTGTGACTTCCCCCACTGCCAAGCAGTTTTACGAACGTTATAAAGGAGAGGGATGGCCCTATAGAGTCACGGCTTTCATCAACATCAGCTATGTACGGCAGCACCACTGAGGAGTCCCAATAGGGCGAAACGGCCGTCTGTTGATCAATGCGAGATCTAGTAAGAACAAACTTCTTTTTCTTGAAATGACTGCAGAGTTGAGCACTCGAAGAGCAATCCTCGTCACTGAAACGTGATAATCTACTCACACGTTGGATTCAACGCTAACAATTTCCAACTATCAACTATTTCGTAAAGATTTCTGTGGGGACAGTACGTATGGGAGCTACTTTGAGGTAACAACATAAACTGCGTCGTGCGAAAACTGGACATGGAATCGTAAAAGAGTTTTACATTTATTGAGGTACAGCTCAACACATCAGCCGATGGTGGTAGTAGCGAGAAGAAAAACGTACAAAATAATCTACGCATAATGCACATTTCAGCAGGTCTTCGGAAATAACGGACGATTCCTCTTCCGTTGGTTCAGACTGTTCAATTGAAAAGATGGCAATGTTGTTCAACACCAGGTACGCATCGCATAGATGTAAAATGTCGTTGTCTGAGTGGCTAACAATCCAACAGCAACCGATTACTTTTTAGATTTTCCAGTAAATACAATGTTCGGAGTATGGCATGCAATATCATACTGGACCGCGGTTTACTCAGAAGTGAACAGAAACCATTCCGACAGTGGGATAAGGGGCACCCAAATGAAACAAAAAGCTGATTAATGGTACGCCATTGGTGATCGATAAGCACAAGGTAGATATAAAAATACGGAGGCAGACCAAACCAACCGAAATAGTACCAACTCACCGGTGTCCTCTTAACTCTTGTTTCGACCGTCTCTTGGTAAAATGACGTCGGTGTTGCGGAGCACAACTTTCTTCCAACAAATGACGTTCAGTAGAGCGAATTTCACGCAATCTCGCTTCGATTTCCCGTTTACGTACAGTTAGGTGTTTCTCGTTGCGCCTCCTAGATTGTTCACCTGCATGGGTAGAATGCGTAAACCAATGAGTTTCAACATTGACCCTAATGTATAACTGCAACGTGGCAATAGAAAACATGCACACTGACAACCAAAACTAAGTGGATCACCGAGAAAAGCAAACAGCTGCATTACGCTAACGTCTAGTATCGATGCGACGTAAGGTGCATTAACGAAAAGGGTATCTGATATTGATACAGACAAGGTACACAGCGTGCTTTTTGTTGGCGAGCGCAAGAAACATCAATGAATAAGACAAACAGCATGATAGGTTGGTCGATCTAGTCGCAAGGAAGATATGCACGTGTAGCCAGGGTAGCGCTTGAGTAGCTACCTGTGTAGCGTGTTAGGAGCATTGTATGAGGAACAATGGCTTGGTCTATGAAGCTACGACCGGAAAAAAAACAACATTAGGTTGTTTTTCCCTATACAGATCTGAAGAGCCTCGGGAAAGTATGAGACATCTACTCTAATCGAATTTACGAAGCATGTTTGTGACAGCGCGGACAACTGTCAATCATACAGGTCCATAGGTTAGTGACACACGTTGCTGGCATCCGGAATTTATTGGGTCGGAACCCGGCAGAGGTTCAAGGAAGGTGCACCACTGAGAAGACCCAGGTCGAAACAGCGCTGTCTGGTGCTTTTCCAGACGTGCCAGCGCCTGCTGACTGAGAGTGGACAGTGATGAATTACCTCTGAATAGGATATCTAAACCAATTTGGAGGGACGATTAGAACATTAGAACAAAGGCGCACTGCAATGGGATAAGAATACGACTACACCTCTCAGCAATACCTACAGTCTAGAGGTGGACCAGGCGGCTGCGTTCGGCTGACTGGCCTGAGAAATAGCCTATGTAAATGTGTATAGGGTGTAACAAGATTGCGAAAAAAGGACTGTAAGACGCACAAAACCCAGGTGGCAGGGGCCCTGTCTTGTGGCTGTAATGTTGCGGTTGAAAACGAAATACAGGATAAAGTATATGAAGCAACTGTTGGTAGCTTAGGCTGTTCAGTTGGTAGTCTGAGTGCTCGCTGAGCTCGGCAGTTTGGTTGCAAAGTTTTCGTCACCTCGGGCGGTGACGAAACGTTTGCAGCCAAACTACCGAGCTCAGCGAACACATAGACCACCAAAAGCACGTGAAGAAAATCGTTGTTGCTTTTGAGATCAACATTCCGTTCCGGTGCACCAAGCCAAGGTGCAGATCGGTAAAAATCATAAAATGATGACGTTCTAAGAGGATAGGGGTAGGCTTTCACTAAAGTTGCAAGCATAGAACAATCTAAGACTCGCAAAAACAAATAAACAGCTTTCGGAACCATAAAACCTTATAAGTTGGGAAATCGACCGCATCGAATAGATATGAGCCAGACGGCACTAAAAGCATTTGTCTTCTAATGGTTTACAAGATAGTCAAACGTCGCTGCGTGATGTGCTATCAGTTCGCAGTACACATCTCCTAGACGCCAACGAACGGACGGTTATCAGTGGAACGCCTGATACTGAAAGTCCACTTCTATTTTCTAATTACTTCCAATATACACTATCAATTCTGACCGCAATCGGCTATCGATAGTTCGTAGCTGCCACAGGATTTTTTTTGTCTATGTTGGGTTGTTGGATTCTGTAACACCCTAGAGTTCTGCTTTGTCGTGTGATTAATTTAATCTCTGTAGAAAGTAGAAGTCACGATTAAAACCCACGCGCAATAATGTGCCTCGACGGGGAGTCGAACCCCGGTCCACGAATTTCCGGTCCGCTGCTCTACCGCTGAGCTACCGAGGGCTGACGATTAGGTGCGCAAATTTTAATACGGGACTTCTGCTTGGTGCGCGACGTATTGTCAATGAGCTCACAGTATCTGTCCTGGTGTTGCAGATTGGCTCACTCACCCGTCACCTCCCAATAGACCGAAGTACCTATCCTTCAGATGTCCAATGGGCGATGGTAGATTAATTGTGGATGCTTGTGAGTGGTGTAAAGTTTGTAGAAAGTAGACTTCTACTTTTGGGAAGTGACGGGGGAGTGAGCCAATCCGCAACACCAGGACAGGTACTGTGAGCTCATTGGCAATACGTCGCGCACCAAGCAGAAGTCATGTATTAAAATTTGCGCACCTAATCGTCAGCCCTCGGTAGCTCAGCGGTAGAGCAGCGGACCGGAAATTCGTGGACCAGGGTTCGACTCCCCGTCGAGGCACATTATTGCACGTGAATTTTAATCGTGATTTCTACTTTCTACAAACTTTACACCACTCACAAACATCCTTTAATCTCATTGTCAGTAGACATCACTGGAGCGGCTTTTCGCTGACTAGCATCCGGTGAAGACATTGGATAAGCAATACCGGTATTCGCCAGTAGGGATATAACAATGGACTTGACGTTTCACCGTTGAACACGAACAGTTCGCACTGATTAGGCTATTTCCCTGGTATGATTGCTGATTGGCTGCCTTAGTCACAGTTGCGCACCTGGTTGGTTGAAACTGGGAAGCCGTTATTGGGCAGCCTAGCGAAGCCGCATGGTTGGCGGATCCGGTTTCGGATTTGCCTGTCACTGTGGTCAGCCACAGGACGCCTGCGCCTACACAAGGACCATGGGTGGCTTGCGCTGCACCACCCACATCTCCAACCACACACCCATATTCAGTGTAAACCCGAAGGAATAAGACCGGGAGGCATGTGGATGGGAGCCACGTGACATCAACGGAGCCTGCCCACAATCCTTCACAGACAAACACAAGCACGCTGTATTTAAGGAATCAAGCATACACAAGGCGGTGGCTGGACCGTAGTCCGCTCCACACTGACTGCATGGAACCACTCTTTGATCCTAACACGGCCACAAGGACCGTGCACCCCGTCCCCTCCAGCAACGACCAACTGTCTCCTGGAGCCAGTATGGAGGAGGTAGTGGGTAATAGACAGGTAGGCACCTTGTCAACATGCACATCAGGCTCAGCCACACAGGGGATATCAAGCAACAGCCAATCACTTGAGAGAAAGATAACAAAGAAAATAAATGGAGTAATGCATAAGGAAATGGTGACGTATATCTTAAAGTAATGAGCATCTGAAGTAAATTGTTTACAGAAGAATGCGAGATAAGTTCATGAGGTCAGAAAGTATACTTTACGGAAATGCCACGAACACAAAAATATTTTCGAAAAGGACTAGAATTGGCTAAAAAGACGTGTGCAAGTTTATAGAAGAGAGTAGAGGTAGACATTTATATGAGAAAGCAAAGCATTGGGACAAAATTGAAAACCCACCACCTGAAATAAACAGACTAAGCACGCAAGCAAACGGTGACATAAATCTCAAATCAGTGAGCATATGAAATAAGTTCTTCACAAAAGAATACGATTACAAAAGAATACGAGGTAAGTTCACGAGGTCAGGAAGCTCATTTTACGGAAATGCTACAAACACGAAAATGTTATCGAAATAAGTACAAGTGGCTCAAGCGACGTGCGCAAGTGTATAGAAGAGAGTAAAACTAGGCATTTATATGGGAAAGAAAAGCATTAGGGCAAAATTGAAAACCCACCAACTGAAATAAAGAGACTTAGCATGCAAGCACGCGGTTAGTAAATCGAATGCAGCGTACCTGCAAACGCTGCGCCGGTTCTGCCTACGTTCTCTGCAGAACCCGTCGGCGCTTAGGTAGTAGTCCCGAGTGGCCTCGCTCATGGCTCACTAGAATTGCCTGACTCAGGCACCCACGACCGCATATTCTACAGTACCATGCGCTTGATGTCGATGGAGTACAACCCATCGGTACTTGCCGCTTCTTCTCTGCATGCATGAAGTATTTCTCCTGCACCTCGGCAAGTGCCTTCGTGATGAGATCGCGCCATGCACGCCGATCAACCGCTTTCGATTCCCATGACCAGCAATCAAGATTAGAACGTGTGAGGCTCACTTTGATCATGTCCTGGTAACGTAACTTTGGTTTCCCCATATGCCGCTTCCCTATCCTCAGCTGACCGTATAAGAGTTGTTTCCGTATCCGAGTCTAATCCATGCGCCACACATGACCGAGCCATCTCAGGTGTCTCAATAAAAGTGTGCCGCCCATTGCATACATCCCACTTCGGCGCAAAACTTCCGTGTCTGCAACTCTGTCGCCCCTGCCGATCCGCAAAATTCGTCGCAGACACTGCTGATGGAACCGCTCGAGATATCGCACATCCCGACGGTACATCGTCCACGTTTCACTGCCGTATAGAAAAACGGACAACACTATGGTTTTGTACACCATCAACTTTGTGCCAATGCTAATCTGATGGTTGTTCCACACTCGGTACTCAAGCTTCCTGAATGCTGCCGCTGCCTTCGACACGCGAATACGCAACTCAACGTGTAGCTGCTGATCCGTCGACATCACACTCCCAAGGTAGCAGCAGCGGGAGGTGGTTTCCAATACTTCAGCACCAATGCTGATTCGCAGCACCATTGTAGATTGCACCTCTGGTGAAGGCTGAAAGAGACAGACAGTTTTGCTTGTGTTGATGGTGAGCCCAAATTTTGCCGCTGTCGAAGCCAGAGCACTAGTCATGTACTGCAACTCATCCGCGCTGTGTGAAAACAACGCACAGTCGTCAGCAAACAGCAACATACGGATAGTCGGCTCACAGACTAGAGTTCTCGCATCGAAACGAAGGATGTTCAGCAACCCACCATTAATACGGTGCTCCATACGAACACCGTAAGCACAAGCCGCATCAAAAGCACAAGACAATATTGCATGAAGATATATATTAAACAGGGCAGGAGCTAAGACACAGCCTTGCTTCACATCAGAGACAACTGCAAAGTCATCCGAGGTCTCTCCACTCAGCTGCACCCTCGCTCGCATACCACTGTGCAGACATTCAATTCAACTTACAAATTTACGCGGGCAACCGAACTTACCCAACACCAGCCACAATGCCTCGCGGTTCACCGTATCAAATGCCTTGGTGAAATCAACAAAAAGCGAGTACAATGGCTGGTGTCGTTCTCTGCACCTCTCTTGCAACTGACGAGCCGCAAACACCATATCTATAGTGCTGCGACCCGAACGGAATCCACATTGCTCTTCCGCCACGTTAGGTTCCCCAACCTGACTGACGAGGCGGTTGAGCAGGATTCGGGCAATCACCTTGCCCACACAACTCAGCAAGTTGATGCCACAATAATTCGTGCAACATTGCTTGCTACCTTTGCCCTTGTACAGTGGTAGCACAACGGCATCCTTCAGCTCAGGAGGCACCTCCTCCTCAATCCACACACGTTGCACCAAGTGGTGCAGCGCAGTCAACAACGCGTGTCCGCCCTGCTGCAATACTTCAGGCAGGATCCCGTCGGCCCCGGCACACTTGCCGTTTCGCAGCTGAGCAAGTGCTCTCTGCGTCTCATCCAGTGTCGGCGTATCCGCCAGATTCGCCTTCACATCGTGCTGCTTCAGGCCGTTCAATGTAAGCCAGTCGATCTCTGAACGGTTGTTCAAGAGACAGTCAAAGTGTTTCCGCCAGATCTGCATTATGTCTGCAGTCTGTGTGCAGGCAGCGCCTGAACTACCATCGATCAGTGTCCTCAGAGGCTCAAATCTCGGTCCATACACCGCCTTCAAGGAGTCAAAGAATTCCTTGTGTTGGCGGCGTTCGGCGTAGCATTCCATCTGTTTCGCCTTCTCCGTCCACCATGCATTTTTTATGCGACGGAGCTCTCGGGTCAGTCGCCGTCGAAGTTTGCGAAACCGACTACTCTTCCCCAAATCACTAGGATCTGCAACATGTGCAGCAAATGCTGCATTCTTCTCACACACCAATGCGCCAATCGTCACATTGTTGTCATCAAACCAATCAGGCCGCTTACAGTTTGCGCGCCCGATGGTCTCCTCGGCAGCAGCTGTCACCTGGTCGCGAATGTGGTGCCACAGGTCGCCCACTGTGGCTATACAGTCCACATCACCACACAGGCGTGCAGCCATCGCCTTCTCCAGCTCAGTATGTTTCGCCACAGTACCGAGGGAGAGAATGTTAAATTTACGCCGATTCACGGCGGGAGTGCAATACACAGATTTAAGAAAATATATGTACAGTTTGGTCCGCACCAACTTGTGATCAGTGCCACACTCAGCTCCACGCAGTACACGTGTCATGCGCACTTCACGCATATCACGCTGACGTACGATGACATAGTCGAGCAGGTGAGCGTGACCACTCCGTGGATGCGTCCAAGTTGCTATATCACTCGCACTCAGTGCAAACCGAGTGTTCGTGATCGTCAGGCCGTGAGTGGCACACAGTGAGAGCAGCCTGTCACCGTTCGCATTCGCTGAACCAATGCCATGCGAACCGATAACATCTGTCCACGCTGATGCATCACGCCCAACGCGCGCGTTGAAATCACCCAGCAGAAATAGTCGGTCGCTCCTCGGCACAGACCGTATCACGGAGGATAGTTCAGTGTAGAACTGATCACGCGTGTCATCAGGATAACACATGGTCGGACCGTACGTGCTTATAAAAGTAGCAAACTTACCTCTTCCGAGTCGTAGGCGAACAGTCATCAGCCGCGCGCTGATGCCTGTTGGTTCACCCACCAGCTGGCCATGGAGGCGATCGGATATTGCAAATCCGACCCCATGTTTACGTGGAGCTGAGGCGGCGTTTCCCACCCAGTAGCATGTGTAGCCAGCACCTGCTTCATGCAACTTACCTTGCTCAGCGAGCCGGGTTTCACTGAGCGCCGCAATATCGATATGGTAGCGGGCCAGTTCCATCGCAACGAGTGTAGTGTGTTGCTCGGTGCACTCACTCGCGTTCCGGTCCAGTAGTGTGCGCACGTTCCAGCACCCGATGCTGAGTGCTTTGCGCGCAGGCATACGATTGCATTGGTGGGCAATCGCACGCAAGGTGGTCGTTGTGCTTCGGAGGTTTGCTTGAGGGCCTCCAACCGGAGTCTTTGGCTCAATAGCCTGACCCACAAGGCAGTGGGTTGTTTGGAGGTTTGATTGAGGGACTCTGCCCGGAGCCTTTGGCTCAATAGCCTGACCCACAAGGCAGTGGGTTGTTTGAAGGTTTGCTTGAGGGACTCTGCCCGGAGCCTTTGGCTCAATAGCCTGACCACAAGGCAGTGGGGAGCAGATCCAGCTCGGGAATCTGATTGCAGAGACAGATTGGTATCTGTTTGACGGCCGTCACACGCAGCCTTTGAGGTTCTGAAACAGTTATCATATGTTTTGCGACCGTAATTGGATACGCACCTGCGACCACGGCCAGACGCAGGTGGGTTTTTGGCGGGTTTGCACCAATTTGACCAGGGGCTGCCTGGCTTGAGGCGGGCAGTAGCAAACCATTGAACACCCGCAGGTGTCCTCCCACCGTCAGAGACAATGCGTGGCGCTCGTGCTCTACGCCAATCGAACTGTGAGATTATAACCCATAGACCTGTTGTCTCCCATGGCTAGGTTTTACGGGAAGTGGGCCATCGACCACTTCCTAACCTCCGAAGAGGATAGACTAGGATACTGCCAGGGCGCCCACTCCTGAGAGGAGAACGACTCGGGTCCTCAGCCATAGCCTTCGATTAAATGAACACCCGGAAGGCAGCGGGTCTAGCACATGGTCAGTTAGCCGACTCATGCAGATTGGTGTCCTGGATCTTAGCAGGGAGAAGGGCGAAACCCAACTCCCACCCAGCGGTCGCCACGTGGAGGCGCCCAGGACATGAGACTATGGCGCGACAGTAGCAACAGCGGGTAGACCATCTGTCAGGATCTAGCCACCACCAGCCTCAGCGCACCATAGGCTCTCCCGCGAAGCCGCATGAAAAGCATAGTAAAGTACTGTAACAAGTTGGCGTGCCCTGTTTTCCTGGAGAGCGGCACGGGTGTCAGTCACATGGGAAGTTGGAGGCCGTTGAGGAGATCGCGCAATTACAAGGACAGTAGTGTCCTTGTACGTGACCCACTGCACCTGGCTGCTAACTCATCCATCAAATGACTCTGAGTTGTTCGGACCAACGTCTTGGGAGCTGACCCTTGCTTTCTCCGGCTTCTATTCTCGTTGCTTTCCTAGATCGCTTTTGTGATGATGGTAACTGGATTTGTCGAAGGTTTGGGAGTAAAACAGATTCGGTGAACCGAAACGAACTGAAGCAGGATGGTGGAGAAAAACACCTGATACTGACAAGTTAGTGAGATGACAGAGAGGAAAGTAATAGCGAAAAATTATCACCACCCATACACTCAATGACAAGAATTGATATATAATGTATGAGAAGAATAACATCAAGAGACTCACGCGAGGAAGCTGAACTTGGTGACACCTCAGACAGCGATACAGAACGGTGTCTATGTGACGACGGAGAATCCGATGAGTCCACATCAGAATAAACTTGTAGGGCACGGGTTTCATGACTGGTGATGGAAAAGCGATTTTCAAACCGACGGCTTTGTGGCGGAGAGATGGCTTCTGGTTTTTCATCAGAAGATACCTAAAGAGCCCGGATGGAACTCTGTAGCCGAAATGCTCAACAAAGAAAGCGATGGACCATATCATTATACAGCATGGTAAAGCGGAGAACACCGTTTTGATATGGGATGGCAAATACACCTTTCGGTAAACTTTAGGCGAACTGAAGCCGAAAATGATTACTAGGTATGTGGTCGAGAGGCTGCGTAAAAAGCACGCAGATATGAAACCGCGGGAACAAGGAAGAGATGACTAGGATAGAGAAGCTGGAATGAGGACAAAAGTGAGCGAACAGCGGTGAACAAATTGCGAAGACAAACACGGATCGATCAAGACAATAAAGGAGAGTTACCAGTGGCAACATGTCTCGGTTGTCCGCACTGTCGTATGCAATACATAAAGGAAAAATAAATACGACAGTTGAATGCCAGCTGAGCTACCAGCAACGGATACGCATCGTTCCCGTAAGCTACTAGCCGGCTACTAGGCAAAAACAAAAATTTAATTACGTTTTACCCTACGAAATAAGATCGTAGATGGAGGGGGAGGCTAAAGGGATGGGGAGGGACAAAGAAACTCACAGCACGAACGCCACTGAGGTCGGCTCCTTGCCATATCAGCAAGTGTATCCAACCAAACGTGTTCACCGTCTTTTGGACCCCAACCAGGGAGCCGTGAAGCTCCAACCTAGGCCAGCTCCGAAGTGAGGGCCTTCATTCCTCTGGACCAAGTCATCGCTTGACCACCTCTCCTCTTCTTCCACCCACATCCCCGGTGAGCAAACAACGCACGTCGAGGGAGTCGGTGGGCTGGCATGCGCAACACGTGGCCCAGCCATCGGAGCCTGGTGAGTGAAATGACGGTGCTGAGCGGTTCATTCCCTTTTCCTAGGCCGTAAACAAGGCGTCGAACACGCTCGTTACTCACGCGGTGTTCCCACCAGATGTGAGCCAAACTGCGAAGACACCGATGGTCGAACGTAACTAGCCTCTTCATGTCAGCCGATCTTAGGGGCCAGGTTTCGCAACCGTACAGTAAGACCGAACGTACCGCTGCATTGTACACTCTACCCTTCAGGGCGAGAGTAATGTCGCGCCGTCGCCATAGGTGGCGAAGGTTAGCAAAAGCACTTCGAGCTTTCGCTATCCGGTTCGTGATCTCGTCTTCGATCCCAAGGGCGCTGATACAACTTCCCAGGTAATTGAATTTCTGAACGACTTCTAGCTGATCCCCACCAAGGGTCAGCACAGGGGGCGAACCCTGCCAATCCTGGAGGAACGCTTTGCACTTCGGTGGTGCAAATCAAAGCCCGAAGCGACTGACAGTCAGTGCTAATCTGTCCAGCGCGGCTTGGCACATCTGGGAGCTGTAACAGATGGGGGCAATGTCGTCTGCATACTCTAAGTCAATAAGTCGTTCTCCTGGGAGTAGCTCCACACTTTCCAAGTCATGTCCTGTAAATGCAATCTCCAGGACTTCGTCAATAGCGAAGTTGAATAGGAAAGGTGACAGCGGGCATCCTTGTCTCACACCGCTGGAGATATTGAAGGGTGGCGACAGCCTGCTGTAAGCCCTTACTCTGCCCGTGCTACGCGCATATAATGCTTGGATAATATTTACATATTTCTCGGGCACACCTTTCCTGAGTAGACAATTCCAAAGGGCACATCGATCAACCGAATCGAAGGCATCTTTGATGTCGAGGAACACGACTACGGTGGGCCGCCAATATGTGTGACGGTGCTCCAACAACTGACGCAAGGTGAAGATGTGGTCGATGCAGCCACGACCCCGACGAAACCCGGCTTGCTCCTCACGAATCTGGCTTTCACGAGTGCCAGTCAGTCTGTGGAGAATTATGGACGCGAGTAATTTGGAGGCGATGGAGATCAGACTGATTCCTCTATGGTTGCCGCATTCCGAGCGCGAGCCGCCTTTGAAGATGGGAACAATAACGGAGCGGCTCCAGTCGGTTGGGACAGTTTCCTGCTCCCACAGTTTCACTAGTAATTCATGCAAAGCATCAACAAGAGCAGAGCCTCCGAATTTGAAAAGAGCTGGAGGAAGATCATCTGGTCCCGCGGCTTTGTTCAACTTCAACAGTCCGATCTCACGTTCGACTTCTGAGCGAGAGGGTGGATCCAAAGGGACAGCCCACGGAGCGGGGCGATCAGTGACCGGCGAATCGAACAATTCTTGCCGATTAAATTGCTTTTCAAAATGCTCAGCCCAACGCTCCAGACGTTTTGACAAATTGTGGATAGGCTGTCCACTCTCGTCACGTATAGTTTCACTAACACCAGGTCTCCTGCTGCCCGTTTCCCGTATCAGACGGAATAACTTACGATGGTTGCCAAGGGCAGCGGCCACTTCCATCTCTGACGCACGATGAGACCACCAAGATTCGCGGTCCCTCTTCAGGCTAGCACGGAGTTTTGCCCGGAGCTCTTTGCGAGTTTCATTGCGCTCGCTTCCAGCCGGGATTTGCCGGCGAGCATCGATAAGTTCCAAAGACTGCGAAGAGACCCAATGTCCATGTTGTCTATTAGACATACCACATGAGGATTTGCCTGCTGCTAGTAAGGTCTGGCGAACATGTGACCAGTGACCATCAATTGTCTCCAGTGAGCGCTTGCTCAACTCGCATGTTAGCGTACTTCGATACGCATTCAGAACAGCTGGCTTTGTCAGTTGGCTGGTGTCAATACGCTCACAACGTCGTCGTGGGCGTCCGCCAAAACACATTCACATATCAGCACGTACAAGTGCATGATCGGTGTCCACACATGTGCTCCAAATCGAGCGACAATTCTGGATGCAGTCTCTCCAGCGGTAACTTATCGCAATGTGATCGATCTGCGTCCAAGGCTGGTTCGAGGCTGGTGGGCGCCAAGTCACCCTCCGGCAGGTGCTGTGTCGGAAATTAGTGCTCGCAAGAAATAAGCGAGCATCTTCACACAAATGAAGTAACCGCTCACCGTTATCATTACGGGAGCCTACACCGTGTTGACCGCCCAGATGCAGTTCATCAGTGGACAACTTTCCAACTTGTGCGTTCATATCCCCCGCCAGCACTACAGTGTCCGTGCTTCTTCTGTGGCGAAGGAGCTGGGTCAGTTGGCAGTAGAAGTCGTTCATTACCGAATCATCGCTACAGTTTGTGGGCGCATAGGCAGCGATGATGAATAGACATCTATTAGTCCCGCGCGACTTCGAAGCTTTAAACGAGCCAGCCAATCGGACCGCACACATCCGGCTACTGATTGGAATCCAATCAACCAGAGCAGCTTCAGCCCGGGGACTCAGGGCAATACCAACACCGGCTTGGCCGGTGCTCGAAGCTGCATCGTCACCGGATAGGTGCAAGGAGAAAATACTGCTTGCGTCACCTGAAGGGGATTGCAGAGTGAGCACAGTGCTCGCGTCTTGCAGGCGAGTCTCTGATAAGCAGCAGATATCGATCGAGAGGGTCTCCAATGTTCGGGCAAGTGCTGCCTGTTGACCGATTTGTAGCAGTGTGCGTACATTGAGGCATGCCAATCTGAAGGAGGATCGAGGGCTCCAAATGCAAGCCGATGAACTGGATTGGACCGCTTGGTTGGACATGGGCTTGTCGACAGGAGAGGAGTGACGCTCCGCGTTCACGTGTGAGTTGAAATTAGAAGGTAAATGCTTAGCAAAGCATGTTGGGGGAGGGCCAAGAATCGGGGGGTTGAAAACTGGGGGGATATAAGTAAAGTTAGAATGGGACGGTAAGAGTGAAAAAGCGTAAGAGGGGGAATAAGAAGACGGGAAGGCTTGAGCAGTAGCATCCAAACCCCTATCCACCCTGCTCGATGCAGCAGATAGGGCACCGTTTATTATCTTTTGCGGTGGCCAGAGCATCAAGAAATTGTTTGAAGGAAAATCCATAGTATTGCGTGGGCAGGATACTGTCAGGTTGCCCAGGCCTAGACAAGAGAACGATTAGGGTTCTCAACCAAAGCCTTTGGTTCAAAAACCTGACCGCAAGGCAGCGGGTTTGGCGTTGGGCTACAAGGAGTCCATTTTAAGGAATAAGGTGCCACCCTCATTCCAACCCCCAACCTGGAGGACCAGGAGGCTGAGTTTGTCTGGCCTCTAACCATTGACCAATCTGGTATGAGTGACTCTGAAGGTGCAGAAGCACCACCCAGCGTAGCTCAATGGATCGCTGAAGCACACAAACCATCGCACCACGGAAAGGTCCAGCCTCATTGCGATGGGCATAGACATCCAATCCCCATCAGAAACGACTTTCAATACACACGAGCATCTTACGCATCCTGTGAATACGTCCGTTCGTAAAAAGATATTAATTAATTCCAATATGCTGATTTATGGTTAGGGAGGATATTCAGCATATTAGGTGACCTGCAATGAACCTAAGGGTTTGGTCCTTTTGGCGAGGAGGCTAATGCAAAACGTAGAGTTATAGAAGGTCAAGCATCTACTTAAGTGAGCCACCAGTTGACCAATGCAATGCTAATTCAATGAACTGCCCAGCTACCTCGCAGTGACTGCTTTTTGGTAGGTGAAGGATGTGAACACTGGCCTAAGCGTGATATGAATGGGAAGCAAGTGACCAACTGGAAAGCCGAGCAGGCATTACTAAACGCTATGGAACAATAACGCTTTATCCAAACACCGTCCCATAGCCGCCTTCGTCCGAGAAGGCACCCAGAGGAAGGACTCGAACCAGGAATGTGCAGGCGTCTGATAAAAGTCAATAACACGTATCGAGTACTGCGAAAAACCAACGATAGACATTTTAGATCACCTATGCAAGTGCGTGGGATTCAATGGGATACAATGCACCGGCACTAATAATGGTTTTTGACGAACTAGTGAGAGCGCACGGCGAGATCAATAGCTTCCAAAACAAATACAGAGGTGAATAGGTGGATCATTAGGTACAGAGGAGAATCCGCTGTATACGCGCATACACCCAGAACAGGACATTTTGGGAGGAATTGCGAATTAGTTAGAGAATAACGTGTTGATAGAGTTCCCTGGTTCGCTAGTTGAAAACTCATCCGCGATGGGTGCATAAAGGCACATTTTTGACTTGACAGCACCGGGACCGGGTTATGTATCGCTCAACATGCCGCAACTACAAAAAGGCTAGAAAAAACTCCCATCACACAAGTTTGCCGGAGCACAGTAGCAAAAAGGGGAAAATTCGCTTACCAGTGGGCTAGACGGGGCACGCGCAACACTACGTGGTGACGGTCGAGTTGGACAACCGCCAGCGTTAGACCGATCAGATTTGGGCCAGTAGGAATCCGAAACCGAATGTCGAGAATAGGCGGGCTTTCGGGTAACCAGATTTTGAGGACTTATCTGAACCGGATCTATTATCAAAGTGACCGTGGTGAGAAACAGATCAGATACAGAAACGGTAATCACAAAAAAGGATATATGAACAAAAATCGGGTTGATATCGCCAAAAGCTTGCGGTATTCGGAGAAACAACGGCTGAACGAAGCCAACCAAATAGCTCCGATCGTTTACGAAATCGGGAACAGGAAGTAATTTGGCAAATTCGCACATAGCCTCTAAAACATACCCATGTTGGAATAAGAAATAGTACTGGAGAAGCCATCGATGATGTGTGGTTCTAGAGTGATGTGAGTGGCAATAAAGGCAACGCTGGCAAAACCACTATTAGCTAGGAGTGAAGAGTAACCCAGCAACTGGGCCGATATAAAAGCCAACTAGGTGGTAGTAAAAAAGAAAAACATAAACAACATTATTATGCTTCCTTTTGGATTTTGCATTAATAACGAAATCGTGGTTGGAGGGGGACAAAATGAACTTACAAAAACGCCACTGTCGGTTATTCGCCATCTCAACTAGTGCATACTACCAAACGTGTTCAGTAACCTTCGGACACGAACTAAGAAGTCGAGACCCACTAACCCAAGCCAACTGAGAGTCCTCGTTCGTCTTTGGTTAATCTTCCCTCCGCTTCTTACATGTAGACCCCAGTCGCGCAAACAACGCATTTCCCGCCAGTCAGTGTGCTAGCATGCGTACCACATGACGCAGCGATCGCAGCTTGGTGCGTGAAATAATGGTGCTGAGTGCATCGCTCGCTTTTCACGCGCCACAAACAAGACACAGAGCACGCTCAGTGCGCACGCGGTGTTCCCACCAGATGTGAGCCAAACTGCGAAGACACCGATGGTCGAACGCAAGAAGGCTCTTTACCTATGTCGATCAGATGATTCGGGTTTCAGCAAACGTACAGCAGGGTTGAGAGGATGGATGCATTGTAGACCCAACCCATCAGGCAAGAGTAACGCCGCATCTGCGCCACGACTGGAGAAATGGGGCAAAGCACCTCGAGCACTAGCTATACGGTCCATGATCTCATCTATTCCAGAGCCACTTAGAAAATTGCATTTCTGAAAGATTTCTAGCTGATACCTACCAAGAGTCAACGCAGGGAGCGATCCCTGCCAATCACGGAGATGGACTTTGTATTTGTAGCGTGGAAAAAAGCCAAAAACGGCTGACAGTCAGTGCTACTCTACCTAGTGCTGCTTTACATGTTTGTGAGCTGTCACGGATAGGACAATATCGTCAGTGTACTCCAACTAAGGAAGCCGGCCACTTGGAAGCAGCTCCACATTATGTAGGTCGTGTCCAGTGAAGGCAGTTTCCAAGACTTCGTTGATGGCGTAGTTGAAAAGGAAAGGTGACAACGGGCACCAACGTCTCACACCGCTGGATATATTGAAGAGCAGCAACATTAGGCTATAAGCTCTCATTCTGCCCAAAGTTTGATGTGCCTACAGTGTTCTGATAATGCGATCGTTTTTCGGACACAGCATATCTGATCATAAAGTTAAAATGAGTACATCAATCCATGAATGGAAGTTATCTTTGACGTCGAGGAACACAATAACAGTGGGTCGGCAATAAATATGATGATGTTTCAACAATTGACGTAAAGTTAAGATGTCATCAAAGCCATTTCGATTTCGATGAAACTCAATCTTTTCTTCACGAATCTGGCTTTCAATATGAAGAACGACAGAAGTAACTTAGAGGCGATGGAGATCAAGCCGATACCACTATGAATGCAGCGTTCCGAACGTGAGCACCACTGAAGATCGGGACAATAACGGACCAGCCCCAGTCGGTTGGACGAGTTTCATGCCACTACAGTTTCACTAAGAAGTCGTGCATAGCATCTAAATGAGCCAATCCCTTGAATTTGGAGAAGGAAGCTGGTCTGGCCTCGTGACCTTATTCAATTTCTGCAGTCTGATCTCACACGACCTCTGGGCGAGGGGTGGAACCAAAGGGACAAACCAGATAATAGGACGATCAGTGACCGACAGAGAATCTGGCATTCCCGGTTGATTAAATTGTTTCAAAGTCTTCGACCCAACGCTCTAACTACTCTGAAGGGTTGTAGATAACTTGCCTACTCTGGTCACATAACCTCGTTAACAACAAGTTGCTTGCTGTCAGCTCCCGTATCAGACGGAACAACGTTCGTTGGGTAGAAAAAGCAGCGGATGTTTCAATTTCTGAAGCGTCTTTTGTAATTAACACGCATTTTTGCCAGTCTCATTGTATGCGCATCCAGCCGGAAGGTGCCGGCGAGTATAAGAAAGTTCCAGAGAATGCGTAAATACGTAATGTTCAGGTTGGTAATAAGATTTAACACACAGATACCTGCTATTAATAAGGTTTTTCGAATATGTGTTCACTGAGCGCGTACGCAATCAAAAAATCTAGGTTCGCCAATTCGCGGGTGTCTACGCGCTTACCGAGTCATCGCGGGGGCCCGCACCAGATCGAGCGGTAGTATTTTATACAACCTCTCCAGCGGTAACAGATCGCGATATGATCAATTTATGTACATGAATGGTCAAACGCTGGTAGGTGCCACATCACCCTTTTGTGAGCACTGTGTCGGAAGTTGATGCTTCCAGGTGTAGCAACCGCTCGCCGTTATTCTTACAGGAGCCTACACCATGTTGGCCACTCATCAGTAGACGATTTCCCAAGTTGAGCGTTCAGACCCCAAACCAGTACTACTGTGTCTGTGCTTCCTCTGCGGTGAAGGAGCAAGTTCAGTTGGTAAAGAAATCGTCTTTTACTGAGTCATCGTTACGGTTTGTTGGGGCTTAGGTAGCGATGAAAAACAGACATCTATTAGCCCCGCGCAACTTCGGAGCGTTGAACGAGCCAGCCAGTCGGAACGCACACCTGCGGCTACTGATTGGAATCCAATCAACCAGAGGTTCCAGCCCGGGGACCCAAGGTAATATCAACACCGGCTTGGCAGGTGATCGAAGCTGCATCGTCACCGGAGAGATGCAGTGAGAAAGCGCTGCTAGTGTTATCTGAAGGAGATCGCGGAGCTCGAGTCTTGCAAGCGGGTTTCTGATAACCAGCAGGCATTGATCGAGAGGGTCTCCACTGTTTGGGTAAGTGCTGCCTGTTGACCGAACTACAACTAAGTGCGTACACTGAGGTATGCCAATCTGAAGGCTGATCGAGGACTTCAAATGGAAGCCGATGAACTGGGCTTATCCACTTTGTCGAAAATAGTCATCGCGACTGGACAGGAGCGACGCATTGCGGTTGCGTGTATTTTAACTATAGGACAAGCAACTATTGAGGACCAAAAATGGGAGGATGAAAGTGAAGTCGGAACGGAACGACATGGATGAGAAAGCGCAAAAGGGGGAAGAAGAAGGTCTGAGCAGTATGATCCGCTCACTCAATGCAGCAAGTAGGGCACAGGTGATTATCACCTGGGTTATAAGCTCACAACTCGATTGGCGTAGAGCACGAGCGCCAGGCATTGTCTCTGACGGTGGAAAGGCACCTTCCGGTGCTTAGTGTTCTGCTACCGGCCGCCTCAAGCCAGGTAGTCCCTGGTCAAATTGGTGCAAACCCGCCAACTCCCACCTGCAGCTGGTCGCGGTCGCAGGTGCGTAACGTAATACGGTTCTAAAACACATGTGAATTGTTACAAAGCTTCAAAGACTGTGTGAGACAGGCCTCGAGCTGGACTTGCTCCCCTCTGTTTTGTAGGTCAGACTATTGAGGCAAAGGCCCAGGGTGAAGTCTAAAGAGTAACTATGAATCCCTACTGCCTTGTGGGTCAGGCTATTCAGCCAAAGGCTCCGGATAAAGTCCCCCAAGCGAATTTCCACGTACCCCACTGACTTATGGATCAGACTGTTGAGTCAAATGCTAGAGGTAGAGGACGTCGAACAAAACATCTCTCTCGGAATGGGCCGTAGGAGAGCATCATTTGCCCTCTCGACCACGTCAACAATCCTCCCTCTTCCTCATATTTGCACTCTCTTCTCCTCTCTCTCAACTCCCTTCTTCCCCGTCCACTGAGCGAGAAGCTGCCATTGACCTTGCTGCTTCTGCCATCGTTACTCCTAACTAGTCCATCAAACCACGAATCTCATTTCACACTGGTTCTTTTAACGTCTGTACTCCGGGTCAGATCGGTCAAAAGCATCACTGACTCTCACACTTTACGCTCTTAGTATTGATGTGCGTTGTGCCTCCGAGACACGTATACAATATAACAGTGTTGTGACCACTTTTCGGCTCTCTGGTTCGGAATCTGAGGACAATGACTACACTCTTCACGTCTTTGGTGATACCGAGTCCATCGTTCAAGGTAGTTACGGTGTTCGTATCGTTCTCAGCAGACATACTGAATGTAATCTACTCGACTGGATACCGGTGAACAGCCGCATGTGTGCAGTTTGACTGGAGTCAGCAAGCACCATATGAAAACAAAGTGCCTTTTCATCGACTCCCTTTATGCTCCTACCGTACCAAAGATGGTTTTTACCAACATCCTTCATCTCTTCTCCGCATGGCGAAAGATACGGAGATCGTGATTGTTGCCAGCGACTTGAATGCCCAAGTGGGTAGTCTTTCGGACGCTGAACAGTATCTGGGAGGGCACTTCGGAGTCGATGCACGTCCAACAGACACTAAAGGTCGGTTGCTACAACTGTATCGACCACAAACTTTATGTTACCAACACTATTTTCCAGCACAAACATTCACACGGCGTCACCTGGAGCCCACCGAATTCCTCAATGAACTGGACCAAAATTGACGATATTGCCATCAGCTAGAAGTGGCCCACTTGAGTCAAAGAATGCAGGTCAATTTGGAGCACATGCCCGGATTCTGACCATGCTCTAGTGCGTGCACGCTTGGCGCCCACTCTTCCCACTTCAAAGAAGTGCCTATCTTCTAACCTTACCTGTAATTTGATCTCGCAATGTGCGGTTCAACAATATCATAACGAACTGGTCCACCAATTGTCAGTTATGAATGAGGGTAATGA